GAACATGATTGAACTGAACCTGAACCTGAACTTGACCAAAGTTCGGTTTCAGTTCGGTTCATAGGAACACTAATATATATACATACATATATACAATCTAAATTAATAAAACATGTAAGTTTTTTAAGTTGGATGCTACAACAAATCGAAAAAAGAGAGAAAGCAGAAGATTTAAAAATGAATGTATTACAAGCCATCTATTATATCATTCAAAGTTGGGATGAAGTTAACGCCAATACAATTCAAAATTGCTAGCATTACACAAAAAATCTTCCTGATTCTTATTTACGAAGTTTCTTAGAAGATCAGCATTAAACTACAGACTCTATACTTGATGATATTGCAGATGCACTTGAAGCTCTTGACTTCCTTGACCCTATGCAAGTTGATGAGTTTTTGGCAATTGCTGAAGAAAATATCATTTATGAAGTTCCTTCGGATGATCGAGTTATTACAGAGCTTGTTAAAACTTTCAGAACTAATGATCCGATTGTTACTGACTTAGAAGATGCAGACAATAGCTGTGAGATACCTATGGTTAGTGCTAATGTGACAAATACAAGTTTGAAGACTGTATATACATTTTTACTTCAGGAGGAAGGTATAGAAGAATATATCAATATCCTAAGAAAAATTGAAAATTTTATTAGAAGAATAAAGGTAGGCCAAATGCAACAAAGCAAAATCGATCAATTTTTTTGGAAGAAATTGAATAGAAATTTTTGAACGTTTCTTAAAATCAATCTAATGATTTAAATTTTTTTTTTCTGCTTGGTTATAAAAAAAAAAAGTCAAATTTATTTTTTATGCTTGTATAAATAATTTTTTGATACTGAGCACAAAATGCTTCAATGTCATGAAATAAGCTTTTAACTATTATTGTATACATACGTACTTTGCCATATGAAATGTAAGCTACATAAGTATGTACGTAGCTTTTGTTGCAAGGTATAAATCTGATTTAAGTGTGTATAAACTGTTCTTTCGTATTAGTACAGTAGTAAAGAATAAAGTATATTTTTATTGGCCAGTTTTTAAAATTAGTGCATTTACAGAAGTACGTATATATACTTAGAATCCCAAATCCCAAGCATATGCAGAATATAGGGGGTGTCTAAGCCCCAACCTTGGGACCAGGCTATAGTATGCATATAGAAAAAGTTTGCACTTAGGGGGCATGCATTTAAAGGGGTGCGACTGTATATATTTGAAAATTACATACTTTTTGGTAAAGTTCTGGTTCTAAGTTAGGGTCAGAAAGGGTTAATCAAATTGTATTTGAATTGATCATTTCTAATATATTCGATGTTGTCTAGTAAACACCATGTAGGTATGCTGCTTCACAGTTTTGGAATTCTATTTTGTCAAAAAAGTGAGAGTAGATCTCTCATTTACTAATGTCTGAGTTTTTTCAAATGAATTTTTTGACATTTTGTAGTTTATGAATAAAGTGCAATATTGTATGTAGTGGTCTGTTAGTTGGTAGTGGGTCTTTATTGTCTATGTTAGTAAGTATATTGTGAAGGTAAGTCCACGAACTTTCTGCCATTGATAATGTAATGAATAATATTAGAAAGCCAAGTTCATGGATCATTGTGTTTAGGTGCATATTTTTTTTGAAAATAACCATTACCTGTACAAATAAATATAGGGATAGATGATGTTTTTTTTTTCATTGTAGCACCAACTATCAGTATAGGTGCTATGTTTGATAATTTCAATAGCTGTAGGTGGACAGTGAGTTTTATTAGCGGTGGATTGTTTGATAAGTCATTAAGTGTTTTGAAAATTTTTGAATTTTTCTAGTTGTAAATATGCCCATGTGGGCCAGTAGTGGTGTAGTCTAAATCGAGGATCTTTAGAAAATAAGCAATATTTTATATATTTGGGGTCTTTGCCTTGAAAATTGAGTTATGGAACATAGTAAATCATATGTCCCATACTTGATTTTCAAGGCAAAGACCCCATTTTCTAAGAGTGTTATAGCATTGTTATAAATTTTCTAACTAATTTTGCATATCATAATAGTGGCCATGACTATTAGGATAGAATCTGAAAAAAGTAACGGTTTAAGATATGAATCATTTAGAGCTATTAAAATTTTGTTTATATTATCATTAGTTATAAACCCAGCTATTAAGTGATGATAGTTTGCATCTTCATTGTGAATTTTAGTAGGAAAATTTTGGTGGGGAATGACTATATTGCCATGTTAAAATGGGGGTGTGTTTTCATCAACGATTGAATAGACTGCTATAGGAAATTGAAAGTTTGAATTTAATATTGGTGGAATCATTTGTGAATATTAATATATGTATGAATTATTTTCTTTAAACCAATTAGTAGCATTAATTAGAGAGTTGTCAAACCAAGAAGAAAGCACAAATTGAGCAGAAGTTGAAGAGATAAGATAAGTGCCTAGTAAGCCCGAATATAAATTTAGAGAATTGAAGTTTTGTGAGTAATTCATAGTACCCACTAATGTCCTGTATTCGAAGAAGAGATTTGCTTTAGGTGTTCTACCCAGAGAATAGTGAAGAAAGATTAGGGACAGGTGTTTGTGTAATCTTAATGGTACTGATTTGATTTTAGTTAAAATTAAAGGTAGGTATGGCAGATAATTTCGTGTTAGATTTAATTTGTATGAAAAGTATATTGCAATATGGTTTGCGGGTGGTACTGGGTTTACGACTAATAGTATATAGTTTTCAAGTGGATATAAAGTGTTAGGATCTTGATAAATCTACTTTAATTTTTTTGGATACATGAGTTTGGAGCAAATAGAACAGAGAACAGAGAACATATAGGAATTGAGATAAAATAGTATTTTCAAATTTTTCTATTAGTTCTTGCATTTTTTTTGAAATGATCTATGAAGATACTTCTGAATGAGATAGATTGTTGAATTGAGTATTACTTTGGTTAGAATGTTGTAAATTATTGTCGCTAGAAGAAGTTAGATTGATTATTTCTTCATTATATTTTAAAGGTTCGATTTCAAGAATTCTGTATATGTGGAATGACATTTAATAAAGAGTATTTGTTTTATTAAGTGATATGATTATAAAGTTATTCGAATTATAATTTGGAATTTGGTGGTATTTATAATTTGAGGAAGTATAAACGTGATTTGGTATTTTTATCTAAAGTGAAATTAATCATTAATTATTTTACTGATCTAAATAAGTAATAATATTAATTGTGTTTATGACTGTATTAGAAAATTAGACATTTTTGTATGTATGTATTATTATTATTATTTTTTTTGTATTATTGATAAGTATATATGATAAAGATATGCAAATATTTATTTTGGGTATAATTTTTCTTTTATAGACATGACTTTATAGATCTGTGGATTTGTAAATTTGTTTTATAAAAGTGAGGCTTGGCCTGGCTTTGTTATCTCTTTTTTTTTTTTAATTAATTAATAAAAAAAATAATTTAAGTTGAGGCATAGATATCGAATTTCTCAATAAGCTTAGTTCTGGTTAAAAGTTATTTGCATCAATATTATTATATTTGCTGTATTATATTGCAGGATTTATTGATTTCTAATTTTAAAGCAATACACTATAAGATTATGAATTAAGATAAGTTTCTTGTATAATTAATAATCAGTGGAATAATCAGTATATATAAGAGTCTTGGTTATAATAGATCTTTCTTTTTTTATTATAAAAAAAAAATAAAAAAAAAAATAGGTTATAAGAGTTATAAGTAAAAAATATGGTGATTAAATTCATTTTTAAATATTGGATTATTTAATTAGTTAGATAACAAATATTATTTTTGTGATTTATGTTATAATTTTAAATATTTAACAATTTATTTGTTTATTTATATGAATATAAAAAATAAACATATATTAATAAATAAAAAATACAAATATATATCAGGTAAGTATAATAAGAGATATTGAGAAATATATCATAAAATACTAATGTATAATATTTATTTTTTATAGTATTCGAAAAAGTATCATTTGATACGTTAGAAAGTATGAAGAAACACTAATTGTTTATTTATCATGAAAAGAGAAAAAAATAAATAAGACAAATGATTTTGGATTAAGTACATAGGTAATAATATACTTACTTATTCGATAGTGGTTTGATTAGATGTGTTTGGACCTGAAGTTTTGTTTAGGAAATTATTTGCCAGGTTAGTAACTTTTAGATAAGAATTGGCTTTGAAATATGGTTTAGAGGTAGGTGCAGCTTTTTTGTATCAGGTGCTTTCTTTAACTCTAGTGGCTATAGTTTGAGCAATGATAGAGGTACTCTGTTGATTTGTATTATCTTGTTTTTTTGATTCCCATGAAAATTGCATTGGACTGCTTTTTATAATCGTATTTAATTTTTGATATTCTAAAAATGAAATATTTCATATATAAACTATGTTATCATCATTAGTAATTATAAGTTCTCTATTTACATAGACTACAGAATCTTTCTTTATAATAGCAGTTGTATTTGTCAAGTAATATATCGAAGTAGGGTAGTAACATGTTAGTTTAAGATCAATGTAATCTTGCTCCACATAATTTTTAGTTGAAACATTAATGACTATATCTTCATTATCGATTTTCAGGTCTTCTTTGACTGACGCTGTCATGTTGATCAATATTGGGAATGCAGGTAAATCATTAAAATTAATAGTATTAAAATGAACAACATCGTTTAAGGTAATCTTTTTTTTGTTATTAGAAAAAAAAAAAAATTAATTTATTCATTGAATTTTTTATATTCATAAATAAATAATAAAAGATATACTTTTATAATAGAATATTTTTCATTATTTTAGCCTGTGCCTTCAACAATTTGAAAATTCTCAGTAGTGAGAATTACATCCTTATCTTCAAATTCAGGTAAGTTTAATTCTTGGATAGTATCGTGGTGATAAAATCCAGTTAAAATAACATTCAAGAAAGAATCTAGACTTCGAAATCTTACAACAGCCGAAGCTTCAACTATCAAAAGGTTCTTATTAGAAATTAATTTTTTTTGGTAACTTGTCACATAACACAACATGGTAACGGTAGCCAGCATTTTTTTTTCTTTTTTTTATTTTTATTAAAAAAAAAAAAGAAAAAAAAAGATGCAAAAAAAAACACAACTATTTATTTATTATTTAATTAATTATTTTGCTTTTTTTGTTATTATTATTTTATATAATAATTGATAATAGTATAGGAATATTATAAAGATGCTATGACATTTGATTATTTAATTAGGAAGTTTTTTCAAAATATGTTTGGCTTATTCAAGAAAATTTGAGATAATAAGCATACAACAAGTATATACATGCTATTTGATCATTTGGGCATAATTCAAGTATGCCTATACTGCCACCGAAATTGATTTTTAAAAAAGGCCTATTTTGTCTCCATTAGAGCAAATTAAAATTTTTTATAAGAAAGAGCAAATAAAATTTATATATTTATACTCCTTATAATTTCATCTATTCAAAAAAAGTGTCAAAAAATTTTGTCTTTTAAGTAAAATAAGTCAAAAACAATTTCATCTTCAAATTTTAATTTCGGGTTTTAGAACCTAAAATAATTTTGGCAGCATGTATAGCCTATATGCGTTATTTTAAGTCCAATCGTTATATCACAAAATTAGCTGATATATTAAGCAAATTAGTATCTTATACCTTAGCTTTTACAACTCATATCTTAGAAAATTTTAAAGTTAGCTTGATGTAGTAACATTTAAAAAAGAGCCTGGATTCTAAGCTTTCTTTTGAATATTAGTTTATTAAGCTAATTTCAAAATTCGCTAAGATATAAGCTGTGAAAACTAAGATATTTAATTTTTTTTAAAATACCAATTTATTTGATTTTTATAAATGGTAGTCCATATTATAAAGCGCATGTTGTTTCAAGGATGTGATTTTCAAAACAATACAAATCAATAGTATACAGTTTTTTTTTTTTAAATAAGTTCTATTTGAAAATTAATAATAAATAATCAGATTCTTATTTATAATTAATAGTCACAAGGTTGGGATCATCTATCATAATTATATACTAAATTTAGATATTGACTTGATTATTTTCGCAGGTCACAAAATATTTATTTATTTATTTTTTTATCATCGTTTATTTTATTTTCAAAAACAACAAATAAAAAAAAAATTGTTATCATAACCTATCTACATAGCAGGTTTTTACTGGTTCTTAACTTGGTTTAACTATTTTTTTTTTTCTGATAATAACAAAAAGTCAAATTCAGCAAATTCTTTACCACGAACGAATATTTGTTGGTCTTCAACAATCAGTAATTATCAATTCATTTGTTTTGTAAAAAATCTGACAAAAAAACAAAGAAAAATCGGCAAAACATATTTATAAATTTAGATAAAGGCATGAGGTGTAATGGCTTAGTGAAGTGGTCAAGTCGTTACCCTCTCCAAGTAGCAGGTCTAGGGTTCAAATCCCATGGACGAAAAAAGTTTGAAAAATAGACTTGCATTATGGTAATAGATCTTCATTAAGTTGGGGCTTAGATTAACCTGTAACCTCGGGTTATACCAATGCTTTGTATTGAAAAGTTGTCACTGTCGGGCGTCTGTATACTGCCAAGCGGATATAGGATGTCCCGGTAGTGTTGGTAACACCAAGGAACAAGAAAATTCTGGAACCTGCTTGGCAAGTCCCAAGTTGGGGAGTAGCAGTGATCTTTGATGGTATCATATAAAAGGCTGAATTCGAACCGGAATCTGAGATTGGAGAACTGTAGGACCAGGTCCTTTAGTGGGGGGACACACCAGCCGAACTGCCAGTTTAGATGCACTGGAGGAAAAGGGCATACACTCCGAAAGTATGAACCAAAGGGAGGGCGTCCTTCAGACACCTAAAGCCTGGGCAGACTAACCTTTCCGGGTTGCCGGCTAGAACTGCGAGAGGGACCAATGAAGCTTCTAGGTAAGAAGACGGCTGGATTGCGGGTACTGGGATTGTTGTGAACCCTGCAAGGGCAAGGAGTACGTAATAGACGACTAATTAGGAAGGTTGGGCTTGAGATACGGATTGTATTATAGCAGCACCCCAAAAGGTGGCATGAGATACGAACACAATGGCGGCAGACAATATGTACTAATTAGGAAGAAATTACCAAATATGCAGGTGAATAACCGTGTGGGATGGGAACCACTCTGTTGGGTTTACTACAAGGATAAATGCCTTCTGTTGTTGGCTAAAGTCTTAGGGTCTTTCACAGTAAATT